AGAGTGGCTGTGTTTATTTAATAAAAAAAGAAAAAGAAGAAATGAGGGTAGAGATAGTATTCTTGGCATTTATCTGAGAAAGTGACGGAAAGCAAGAGCCCAGCCCACTAGCCCATTGGATACCTTATCAACTCTTCTGCAACACCAAACCAGAAAAATCCCTTACCAAGTTCATTTTGTACTTCGTACGGTAATTTTCCTTTTGTCGCTGAAGTTAAAAATAATTACCACGCTGTAACTCGTATAGAAATACATATAAAGACTTTTGGGGTTTTTTTTTTATTTTAATTTTAATTTTTTTATAAAAAAAAACATTATACCAAAAATATATGTATGTATATATATATATATATATATATATATATGAATATGAATATAGTCCATAATTTACGCGGGTAATGTGCAATTTCTACTGGCAAGTATAGAAACGAATGAAAGAATCTCTGGGCCTCACTCCCCTACCAAGATGCTTCCAATTCTATCCTCCTTCCCTAATCAATTATTTCCAATTTATACATTTTTCTTTTTGTCTCAGTCATTGAATTCTTCTCCATTCTTATTTCCTTATCCCACACGATCACTTCTCTCTCTGGTCTCTAGCTATATATATTTATTTATTTATATACATATATGTATATAAGTAGGTGCATTGGATACGTTTGAGAAAATTTGGTCAGTTTCATGGTTATAGAGAAAAAAAAAAAAAAAGGACAAATACGTTACGTTACGTTGTGTTTGGTCAGATTTATTTTGGAAATGTAAGAAATGAACGTTGGCTCATATTGATTATTTATATTTATGAGGAATAATATTATTATAAAATTATAACATGTGGATAAATATATACTCGCCCACGACCCTGATCTGATCGTACCCAGTTTGGATTTTATTGATTGAATAATAATGAATTAATAGTAGTTGAGATCCCGGAATTTGCCATAATAAATTATGTGCATGTTAAATTTAACGGGTGCAAAATCAAGTTGTGTCGTGCTAGAGAGACGGACATGGTTAAAATATATATATATATATATATATATACATTGTTGTTATTAAATTATGATTGAGTATATATATATATATATATGTATGTATACTTTATTTGGATGACAAAAATTAGAAAGACAGAATTAATTTAACGTTAAAAATGATATGCTGATAACGGTATCCTATTTTAGATCTGAGCCGACCATATGGTTTTTGCGCGGGAAAACAAAAAAAAAAAAAAAAAAAAAAAAGGGTTATTAATCTCACGTGCTAACTTTTGGATCAGCTGCTTCTGTTTGTTTGGTATTAAAAGTGAAACTGGATAAAATTTAGTGATGATCTATTTTTATTTAATTTAATTAAAAATATAATTCTTAACAGTATTATAATAACTAAATTAAGTTAAGTTCTAATAAATAATTTATGTTTTTAAATAAAAATAAAATTCAATAAATGATTACTAAAAACCCAATTTAAATTTTGATTAATCAATAAAATAAAAAATGAGGTTGCTGGTAGAGATGATGATAATAAAATTGGATAGAGTCGGCCCTGGCCAGCCTTAAAATAATATTACATGCCGCACCACTTGATAAAGTTTTGATATGATTATATATATATATATATATATACTGTTTTTCATATGATTAATCATATATTAAATTAATACGTATTTCATCATCGTTTTCCTTTTTCGTTAATTTTAAAAGAAAAAAGTTTTGAAATTCTGTACAGTCTCCGCTGCATAACTACGGGGGGAGGGGAGGGGAAAGGAGCACCTTCAAACAAAATTCAAAAGATTTCGTCCCCCATTTTCAACATTCTCCTCACCTTTTATGTGTGTTTCTTATGGGATGTTAATCTTCTTTTCTTTTCGTTTTTTGGGTTTCCTCATCATCATCCTCTAAACCATAATGCTACTCACTCCTCGCAACAATCACATGTAACATCAAAAATTTTAACCTCAAAAGTTTGGAATGCTGTTACACATTAATCATTATGTATAAATATATAATATGTTTCATTTTTCCTCAATGGGACTACAAGAGCTTCTTTTTGGTATCTTTTTCTTTAAATATAAAATAAAGATAAAGAAAATCATATATTACGAACTATTAACCTTACTCAAATAATATCACATAAATTCAAATAAATATATTTACTGAATATGATGGTGTTGATCTAGTATATCTTAATAAGCATATATATTATATTATCTAAAAAACGTGAAAGATATAAATCTCTCGATCATGATGAAAGAGATTCATAATCTATGAATTAATCATCTTGCGTGTTGATAAAATCCGTTAACTTGCTGAATGTGTTAGTAAAGAAAGAGAAAATCTACCTTAATGGCCAGTTTCTTAATCTGTTTATCTCAAACCAACTTAAGACTCTCAAATAATTTAATACTTTCGATCGTTATTACCAATATAATACATAAAATACACTACATATTCACCACGACTATCATGAATGAAGCCCAGCACATGTGGCCATAAATCGCCACACATAAAATTATCAATATTGAGCTTAACTCGTCCCTTTAAATGAGCAAATAATCATGCCTCATACATCTTGTCGTCCCTTATAACTCTAGGCTCTTGCTTGTTGAAGATTAGAAAATGCATATTCACCGTCACGTAGAAACTCATTTTTTCTTCTCTAAAACAACTAGATAATACTAGTGAATATTTATCTTCGACTCATAATGTCATGAGCACAAGTTTTTTACAAAAGTTCAAGCGAATTCATTAGTTAAATCATTAAATTAATCATAACTTGAAACTGATTCGCTAAGACGTCAGCTCTTTAATTTAATTATACGAAACTTGTTTTTAATTGAAAAAATGAGAGATTTAGTTTTAAATATATCTTAAAAATACATAAATAAAATATCATTGTTAAATTATTAAAACGGAAATAAAACATGTTGGAGATATATTTATTTTAACAATTACAAATAATTTTAAGCATGATGCTTTAGTTGTTGCATTTGATGAAGTAAAAAAAATTAAGAGTTTATTTAAAAAATATTAAAAATAATTTTAAAAATGTATAAAGTAGACATCATATTGTAAATTCTTTTTAAGTTTTTAAATTTTTTAAATATAGAACTTAAATCGATCAACTATCTTAAATATATTTATTTCAATGATCTTAAAAAACTCTTTTGAGATTAAATATAATTTATGACACATATTTATTTGTCTAAGAATGGAGACAGGCGGGGGAGAATAAAGCCAAGACGTGATTCTCTTTGTTAGCTTGAAGTTGTAGAGAGCACATGCAACCATTCTTTTCTTCCTACGTGCCAATAAGTTCAACAAAAATATCCACTCCTCCTTAATTTGTTTTTGCCTAATACTTACATTATTAAAAATATTTTATAATCATGGTAATTAATAAAAACAAAGAGAAAATTACGGCTTTACATGTTATTATCTGACTAAACAACTATTTATCTTTTTTTTTGTGTGTGTGTGTGTGTGTGTGGGTATTAAAACTATTAAGTATTTTTTAATTTGAAATTTTGTGTATTTTGAAACCAAGTCTTTACTGGGTTGGATCAAAATATGATAATTCATTCACAACCTTCGCATATATGGAATTGTATTTTTCTTTTTGAACATTCACAAGGCTATGCAGTGCACATGGACTAATTGATTAATTTCTCTCAAAATCAAAAGAGGCAGCTCTCATTGACTTTTTTCCCCCTTCAACCTTGCATATTTGGATCTTTCACATCCACCCTTCAATGTTGTCGTTCTCAACCTCCATTTCTTGGTCACTTGTTTCTCCTTTTCTTTTTTTGTTTTTGTTTGTGTGTATATAATATAATAAAATTTTTAATATTTACAAAAAAAAAAAAAAAATTGATTAAATTAACTTTGTGAATTATTATTAACATCCCGATTAAAGGTGTAAAGTGATGGGTTTTTTTACACAAACCAAAAATGTAGACTTAATTAAGAGTATGACATTTAAGAGCACGTGGTGGATGTAAGGCGAGCACATTTGTTTTTTCCACATAAACTTAATTACCCATTTTGATCAACCCAACAAATTAAGAAACTTTATTTACTCATTCCACCTCATGATCTTTTAAAAAAAAAAAAAAAAAAAATTAGTAATTAAAAGTATTTTTGTGTTAAGCTTTTTATTTATTGGGCTTGCTTGCTGTCTTTTTCTTAATCTCGTCAAAGACAAAACTATTTATATTTTACCTAATAAATCTAGAAAGAAAAAGGAAAACAGAACCCCTCATCTCGACGTTCAATTAAAACTTTTACATTATATAACACATTGTTTAATTAAATTTGATATCGGGGTTGAAAATTAAATCAATAGGACCACTTGTATAATGTTGGTGATCGAAAAAAATGTACACAGAATATAAATATTGGACGGTGTTACAGCTGGTTTGAAAGCATATTTTTTAAATTCAAAACTTCCTCTCTCTCTCTCTCTCTCTCTCTATATATATATATATATATATATGCGTGTGTGTGTGTGTGTGTGTGTGTACAAATAAAAAGCTCTTGCTACGAGGTCAAACTCCTAAATCTCAGCTAGCAAAAATAAGCCCACAAGAATTGCCAATGGCCGACACTATGTTTCTCCCTTCACATCCAAGCAAAAACCCTTTTTCTCCCTGTCACTATTTCTACCTCTCTGTCTCTCCTCTCTTCGTGATTTTTCAAGAAAACGAGGAGAAATAGTTCCCCCCCACAACCAAATTTTTTCCCAATAATTTCAACTTACTCTTTCCATTAAAGAATTTTAGCTTGGACAATCCAACTGAATAATCTTTAGTGTACATTAAATTGACTTGCATCCCCATGGAAATGTAGCTTTATATGGTGTTATTGAGTTCATTAAAGATCAAGATGCAGAGAAAGTAAATTTGCAGACAAGAACAGAAAGAAGAATTTTTTTTTTAAAGAAAAAAATTTATAGTGAGCTTTGATGAAATTAACATTTATTATGTTTATGGAACAAAAGAACCCGACCCAAGTACAGATAGAGAGGTACGTCGTGGTTGGATGGATAAAGGTTTGAACTTTAATGCAAGACCTCTTAATTGTATGTTTCAAAAGTTGTTTGCTTTCCTCTGGATAAAATCCCAATTGCCAACAATCTCTGCTATTATCCCAAATCTCCATACACGCCCCATTTTAGCTCGGAGAAGGAATGTGTCCTTGATAAGTTGTTCTTGTGAGAGTAGTCTCTGTCAGTCCTAAAAAATTGCAGAGATGGTTGGCAATTTACTTGTAACATGGAAAGACACAGGTGCTTGGTGGGTATAAAAATTATTGAAGACTTGAGGAAATTAAAGAAAAGGGAATGGGGAACTAGTGAGGAATGCTGAGAAAATTATCAGCAGTTGCATCGTTTATGCGGCTCTTCTGAAGCTCGTCTTGAGTTTTGGTTTTCTTGGAAACAGGTTCTGGGGAAGAAGACACAGATGATGCAGCGAAAGCCCATGAATCGTTTGAGCTATCAGAGCTAAATGACATATCCATTACGCCGTTTGGACTGCCTGGGATTGAACCAAACTTGCGTTTATTGGATTGGGCGCCGCCGACTCTTGATGCTAATTCGATTATCAGCTTGCAGCAATCATCTACTTTGTCCTGTTTGCGCATCAAGGTTTTTAAGGAATCCAGCGAAGTTTGAAGGTTCGGTAAGACAATAAGGAAGAAAAAAAAGAGTAGCTACCTTCTTAATTCCCAGGATGCCGAGTAGCTGGTCTTGGTATTCCAATCCAAGAGATGGCGCTACGCCATTGATGACGTGCAGCATAGTAGCAGTAGCCATGACAGAAGGAAGATACATCATGAATCTAGAATCTGCAAATGGGATAAAACGTATAAGGATTTGTAAACTGTGTAGATCAGAAACCAGAATACCAAAACTTGATGTAAATTTCTTGATCAAGGGAGCATTTTTTTTTTTTTTTGTAAAATAATATTTTTGGAGGATTGCTTACCCGAAATGACAGAGAGAATGATTCGCTCGCATCGGCTGAGGAATTCCCAGCAGAGATGATCCTTTAATCCAAGTCTCCTTGTCATGTAATCGAGAAATGAGAGTGGGATTACAGGGTTCATCTTCCATTGAAGCGTGGACAGCACTAGAATCTCCATTCTCTGGATTTGTTTAGCTTCGAACACATAAGCACAATCCCCAACCTGAAACAAATAAAGAAAGAAAACTTTTCACATTTGGTAAAAACCCCAATAGACAAAATCATTATTTTCACTCGCAAGCTTTAACAAAGGAACGTACTTGAAGGTCTAGTAAGAGTGGGACTTGGGTCTCCTCCACTTTGGCAGCAAGAGAGAGACAAGCCACAGAAGCTAGCTGAATCATCCATGGCTTCTCTCTCTGATAATGGAAACTGAACAAAAACCTATCGAGGTAGTTAACGGCAAGAACCGCCGTGACAGCGGAGAAAGAGTAGTGAGAAATGACCTTCAGCATCCACTCCACCGCCTTCCTCCGCGCAACGGACAAAGAAGGGTCGGTTTCAATCACTTTGCAGAGATGATTTTCCTCTTGTTTTGACAGTAGAGACGAAAGCTCCTCATCGTCCCAAGAGAGATCTTGTTTCAGCAAGACAGGAAGAGGGTTTAGCTTGTTGGTAGAAACCAGACTACTCCAGCGGGTATCTTCTTGTTCCTGATATTTCTCCTCACAAGAATAGTCCTCTGTAAGCTCTTCCTCCCAATTTTCCTCCGAACAGTAGAGAGCATCAAACAAGACGGTGGAGTCTAGAACCAGGTGCTGTTCCTCCTGGCTTTGATACTGATGATCAGCCATCTTCTTCTTGGAAGAAGAGATAGAGACCTTGGTTCATTACAGAGGGAAGGAGCGCATGACTGGGTCTGGTTGTGGAGGAGAGGGTTTTAGAGGGGAGAAGACGAGAGAGAGAGAGAAGAAGATGGCGGTTTTATTTATGTGACTGGGTAAGTGGGGGAAGTGGGGATTTTTAATTGGGTGATCTGGTGTATATCGTCCCAGACCTGAATCATGGGCCATGCAGCACAATTACTCGACACGTGACACCTTGTACCTGCTCGGATTTGTGGGGGGCCAATGGCTGCTTGGGCCCCACTTCATCACAGATCAGATTCAAATTTAACAACCGTTATGATGCCTAATTCTTGTTTACTTTAATTGATCTTAATGCGGACAGGAGGAAAAAGTTTAGGAGACACCAAAGCTTAAAAATATTTTAATATGTGTTTTTTATTTTTTTTGAACTTAAAATAGAAAGGGTATTTTAAATCTGATGGTAATTTAAATTATGTTAAAATGTTTTATTATTATATATTTTTAAATTATAAAAAAAAAAAAAAAAAGGAGAGAAGAATGAGAAATGGTAGGGTGGGGGCAGATGGGATTTAATTATTTAAAGAAAAAGAAAAAGAAAATAGTAAATAAGAGTATAGAATTTTTGTTTGGGTGTAAGAATTTTTTAAAAAAGAGATTTTTGGGATTTTGTAAAAACAGCTTTGACATTTAGTTTTCAAGGAAAGAGAGAGAATTGGCGCGGGCGGGAGGACACAGACCCCAACATCTGATTCAGATTTTGATGGACACAAAGCGAAGGACCAATTTTAAAGAATTCTGCTTTCCATCCGCCACCCCCACCCTCCCCTTTTTTTTAAAAAATTTTTTATTTTAAAAAATAAATATTCTTGTTGGGTTTGTAAATATATGTTAAAATTCCATTATTTTACGTTTTAATTTTTTTTTTTTTACTTTTTTATTAATATTTTCAATTAATTAATGAATTTTAACTATTAGTAAAACGTTATTCATTAATCTTTAATTAAATCAAATAGATTGAATTGAATTAGACCAAAAATCGACTAAAAATGAAATTTTAATTCTAAATCAAACCAAAATAGTTGAAATTTTTTAAATTTTGATAAAACGAATAATCTATCTGGATCCAAATTGGAATTAAACTAAAATAAGTTAATTTTTTTTAATCCCTTAATGTATAATAGATTGGGATTGTGGTAAATACTATTTTACCCCCCTCCAAATTTACTTACACTAAATAATAATTTATCTACATCTTATAAAACAATTTCATCTCTCTCTCTCTCCTCAAAATTTATGTGCATTTGTGTGGAAAATACACTTTCGGGTGCGTATATTTTATGAATTTATGACGCGGTTAATAATTGTTTTTATTGGACTTCAATAAACTTCTCACTGTTTATAAGGAAAGCATTAATGGCTGTCCTTTAAACAGGGCAGTCTGTCTCCAGTGCATAAAAAAATTCCATCTGATTAACATCAAAATCCAATGTATTGATTTTATTTCTTATATATAAATAAATCACGTATATTTTTTGGGATAATTTACCAGAAAAATAATATTTGAATTTAAATATAGTTACTTCAATATTTTTTTTTAAATTGAGTTATTATAATTTTAGTAAAAGAAAATTCCTATAAGACTAAATTTCTTTAATTGAAAACGCAAAACAATTTTGGTAATTACCTAACATAATGTTTCTACATTGGAAAATATAATTATTTTATTTTATTACAAAAATAGTACTTTTGTTAACACATTAATTTCATTTGATAATTATTTGACTGTGAAATAGTGTATAATGATTTAACGTGGTTATAAAGTTATTAGATTTTTTTTAATAATCAAATAAAATATAAGGGGTATTTTTAATAATTATGGCTAAGTTAATAAGATATTTTTGTAAATTGTCTATATTTTTAATACCCATAAACAAACAAAATTTAATTTCTACTGACTTAAATGATAAAATTTCAAATAATTTGTTAACAAATTTAATTTATTTTGTCCCGTCGTAATCCAAAAACTACAAATTATACCGACTGTAAGCGAACGCGTTTGAATAAAAATTATGTTACTTTCGATCAATAATTTTACAATTATAGGAAAATAAATTATAATAATTTTACATGTTTATTGAGCGAGTGAAGAAAAGTGTCATGCACATAATTGAGTGCATGATGAAAATAATGTATCTTATTAGTTGAAATAGTGTTATATATACATATATATATATATATATGCATACTTATTTATTCATGATTTTCTTCTTCCCCACCATCAGGGGTAAGTACATTGGCTCGGACAGGGTAGACCACGTTGCTATTCTTGGGCAGTCCATGTTGCTATTCTTGGATCTCATGGAAAATAATGTTCGCTGGAACAATTTCATATATGTTTTACCACATTTTCAAGGGTTAAACACATATTTTTTACAGTGTGGTAAAATCTTTATACTTAAAAATCTTAATTCAAATAATTATTTATTCGGTACATTTCAGATATTAGGAACGACCATTCTAATATTTATTGGGAGATTCCATCAATAAATACAAAAAAAGTCTATTGCTAATTGATATTTTTTTCTATTACATACGATGTATAAAATTAATTTTAGAAATTGAGATTTGTGATTATTTACCGTAACATCTGTTTAGAGTTTTCAAAGAAATGAGGATTGCTATAGAAACAGTTTGGTGAGATTCAAATCATGCACGCGTATGTATGAATGTCTATGTATACGTGTGTGTATGGTGCGGTGTTCGAATAAAACGTGGGTATGCAGGCGCTAATAAGAAGAAAATCATGGCAACCGAACCAAATTGTCAGCCAGCTGTTGGTTCAGTGTATAAATATATTGATATTAATCCATGGCAGCATTCAAAAGGTTCCATTATGACAACATAATTAACGTATTAATAAGAGAATAATATAATTAATTTCTTACCAAGAAAACAATATAATAAATATTGGAGTCAAGTTTACATTAATGTAAAAAAAATATATATATATATTATATTAACTATCTAACTAAAGCCGTGATTGCTACTATTTATTTATCTTTTGAACTTGCTATATAGATAGTGTGTATATAAAAGCAGAAAGCAACAAAAGGCAGTGGAGCTGGTAGTGGTTTTTACAGCGGAGATTAAACTGTCTTAAATCACGCTTATACCTTTGAATAAATTTTAGTAATAATTAATTAATATATGATAATAATAATAATTAAATGATAATAATATAAAATAAAGATAATAATTTTTTTTATATTTAAATATTTATATATTAATAATATATTTTTATTTAAACGACAAAATAATATGATTATATTTTCAGTTAAATTACTAATTTATCATTATCTAATTATGTAATAATAAATGTTATATAAAAAATATATAATAAAAAAATAAATTATTTAACAATATAATTATATTTATATTTAAATAAATAATTATTACAAATTATATTTTTATATTTAATAAAATAAATAATAAATTATGAAGATAAAAATAAAATTAAGTATATCATATGAAAGTATAAAAGGATAACTTATCATTCACGTAACACTGATTCAGTGGTTTTAAAATTAATCTTAAATTTGTCAGTTAGATACTGATTATTACAATTGAAAGTTAAAACAAACATGATTTTTTCACATCCGTAAAATACCATACATTAAAATCTTATAATTTATTACGATTCAAATAGAATTTTAGTTTCAAAGAGAGACATTAAGACAATCACATTCTTTTCATATTCTCCTTAATTTCATTCTTCTATCTTGTCAACTACCCAAAATTTAAAAAGAAGAACACGCTTTTTTTCATCTCCTCTACTTTGGTTTAATGATGGTAGTTTTTAACAGTTTGGTCTTGTTGGTTTTGACTTTTGCTGTTATGTATAATTTATTTTTAGAAGAAAAAAAAAAAAAAAAAAACTATAACAAAAGCAAAGTGAAAAAGGCAGTAAACAATTTCTTAAAAACTAATGATTTCAGGTAAGATCAAAATATGTGCAAATAATCAAATTAGTTAATGTTTTCACCACTACTTCGACCCACAATGGTTAACGGGTGAAAAAAATTGCTATAAACAAAATGGGATGTGGGTGTAAAGTATTTCGGAGATGAGTGTAAGATTTTTATTTTTTTTATTTTTTTTTAAATAAATAATATTTTAGGTCAAATTTTAATTAAAAATTATTTACCCGTTCTAAATTTATGTTTTGCCCAAGAATATAACATATGCTTGCAACAATTCAGTAGTGGATAAGTTGCTTTCTTTCTTTCCTTTTCTTTTTTTTTTTTTTTTTTTTTTTAAAAAAAAATTATTATTATTGTGAATTTTGGTTTAATTTTCTAGTAATTCATTCGGTCATTCTGTGTCGAGACACGACCTCCGAAAAATGAAAAAGGCTGAATGTATAGGTGTAACGAGAGGGACATTCAAAAAGAAAAGGGTGAACTTGTGAGTTTTAGGAGGTGAGACAGAAATCAATGGAGGAAGAGAAAGATATATGTTGGTGGTTGTGTTGGTTTCCAGCCCACCCTACACCACCAACCTACTACACAAACTCCCCCATTTTTACTCACACTAAATTAGATTATAAAATTTAAAACAAATAATTATAAAATGATAATTTCCTGAGGCTTTAGCTGCTTGGGCAAAAATCATGATCGGCCATGCTTATATTGAGGGTGTTACACTTTTGGGTACGGGTCAGACTTAATTAGTTTCCATCTAGTCCACTTTTAGATTTGGAAACCATTTTTTTTAATATATATATATATATATATATATTTTCAGTATTTGTTTAATGAATTCTTAAAATCTTATAAGTCTAAAATCATATTGAAAATAGGCCGAACCAACCTAATTCTATCATCTTTCATTTTAATCCGGTCTGCAATTTACAAAACTTAAATTTCAGTCCAACTTCATCCTATTTACTTAACAAGCCAGGCCCTGAGGAATTGATTGAGGCTTCAATTCTCAATTTAAACAGTGACTTACCCACTAATTTAAAAAATAGTACATTGATATTTTTGTTATTTTCTACGTATAATTTTCAAGTCAATAATTAGTAAGTTGCATATTCCTCAACAAATCAACGGCCGGTCAACCAATGAACTATA